TCTCTCTCTCGGTCCACGTCCCTGTCCATGCAGAGGTGCTCACAGTTCTTCAGCCACTCCAAGCTGGAGCCCTGGGGGTCCTGGGAGTGGCTGGGTACCTGTCCTCTCACAGGCACTGGGTATTTGTAGGGCATGGCCCGGTTGATCATGCTGGAGTATTTGGTGTAGGGACTGATCAGAGGCATTATTGTATCAAGGTACATGATAGCAAAGGACATGACCAGCACCGGCTCCTGGGCCCAGGTGTTCTTGAGGAAGGCAGTGACTTTAGATGCCATGTTGCTTGGTGGCAGCAGCAAGGATCACCTGTATTTTTACCGTTTCTGAAATTCTTCTTTTCTGAGTGTTACAAGGATTGGGGTTTCCTGTTCTGGAGTTTGTATGATGCACAGCAGTAGGGTCTCCTGTTTTAAAATTTCCATTTCTTTTTTTTAACAATCCCTATTTCTCTTCTCCCCTCTCCTCCCTTCTCCTCTTACCAGGCAGGCACTGTGCTGCTGAGCTGTATCCCTGGCAACAGTCTCCCTATTTCTTGAACCAATATTATATTTTTTCATTTAATTCTTTGAACACACGTATAGTATCTTCTTTGAAGTCTTTGCTAAACTCAACATATTGACCCACCCAGATTCTGTACACTGGCTTTATTCTGTAAATAGAGCTCACATATTCTTGTTGCCCTGTCTCAAAATTTTTGGCTGAAAATCCAGGTAACCTCTCAGAATTGTTTTTCTTGAGTTGTTTGGAGACGTGTGCTGGACTTGAACTACAAAATCTGTCTCCCCCATAGTGTGCAGCCTCTGATGCCTCTGCTCATGTTTTAATTTTGTTGTACATGCCGACCTGCTCTCCTGAAGGCTGCTTCTGTCTTGCAGTATAGTAGCAGTTTCACTGCCTTGCATGTTAGTGGTCAGTGATTTGAGCAGAAGTTACGCTTAAATACTTTTAGCCCAGAAGCCCTCATGCCCAGCCAGCCAGCCAGCCTCCAGGTCAGAGGACTCCTTACCTCCTCCCGCTTGGTTTCTTTGCCTGGGTGGAATCTGTCCATTCCCTTGAGAGCCTGGGCCTGATGAAAGCAGGGCCTGCTGTGGCTCTGACATTTGGGGACCTTCCCATTCATGCTTGGCTCAGTGTGCACTCCAGTTGGGATCACAACCCCAAGTGATCAAAACTGTCAGTTTTTCCCAATAGTTTTTACCAAGTTTCCCACTTCAGCTACCAGGCCCTAGGTTTGGTCCCCTACCCCATATCTACTTCCTAGGGCTTCAAAATGCAAAATGTTTGGTTGGGCATGCTGGTTCATACCTATAATCCCAGAACTTGGGAGGCTAAAGCAAGAGGATCACAGTGAGGTGGAAGCAGGCCTTAATCTCTGTACACAACCCTGTGAAAACACAGCCCACTAAAAATATTGTATAAAATTACTGCCAGGCTAGCCTGGGCAACTTAATGAGAACCTATCTCAAATAAAAAGGGCTAAGGGGGGCCGGGGAGATAAACACTTCCCTGGCAAGCGCAAGGGCCTGAGTTCAATCCCCGGTTCCGCCAAAAAAAAAAAAAGGCTAAGGCTGTAGCCTCAATGCTCCCTAGATTTAATCCCCAGAAGCACACACACAAAAATATGATCAAATAACAGACATTTCAAATACAAGACACTTGACTCATATCAGATGTTTTCTAATGTTGCTGAAGGTTCATCTAGAAAGCTTTCATTAATTGGCAAAATGTGTGTGTGTGTGTGTGTGTGTGTGTGTGTGTGTAGGTAGGTGGAATCTAATCACACCTCTGCATCAGCCCTCCTTATTTAGCCTGCCTGCTTATCATGTCATGTCATCCCTCTAACTATCTTCCACCCATCCACCCTTTTTGAACCAGGGTCTCAACTGAGTCACCAAATTGCCTAGGCTGAGCTCATATGTGCAGGTCCTTACCAAGTGCTGGGGTTTTAGTTGGGCACTACCACACTTGTTTTAAGCCTCCTTCTTAAATTCATTCTTTCCGGGGGCTTGCCCCTTAGCTCAGTTCTTTAAGTGGCTGCTTCCACAAAAAGCAGTCAGGCTCAGGTTGCTGTAGTTTGATCCCCACAACTCAAGCCAGCCAAACCTGCCCTGAAGGCATTCAGAGCAAAAAAAATCCTTCTGCCTTTTTGGGGCTGGGGAGATGGCTCAATAGAATAGGTGCTTTCCTGGCAAGCGCAAGGGCCTGAGTTCAACCCCTGGTTCCGGAAAAAAAAAAAAAAAAAAAGCAAAAGAAAATCATTCTTTTAGTCCTCAGATGTATGGGAGTTGCTTACTCTACTGAGCCATCTCCTCGCACCCCCCCCCCTTTAATGTATTTGGTACAGGGTCTGCCCTACACAGCTCATAGTGATTGCCCTGTTTTCAGCCTCCCCAGTGCTGGGATTATAGCGTGTGCCACCACGCAGTCTTGGTGGTGGGCTTGGTGCGCCCAGGGCGGGGCTGGCACAGCATGTGGTACCAGGGGTTGAACCCAGGTCCTTCCTCTTGCCTAGGCCAGCACTTAGACCACTGAGCTATCTCCATGGCCCTGGAGCGGTCTTAAAGCTCCTGGTGCCTCCTGGTCACTGGTGTGGGCAGTGAGTAGAAACTGCCCAGAATTCTGGCTGGGCAGGCCCACAGGAGGTTGCTGAAACTGTCTCGCCTCCTCTCTTTCCTCCCACTGATTCGTGACTGTAAGACATCCCTCACCCTGCCACACAGTGAGCACCAGTCCTCACTGCTCTTCTGGGGTTAAAATAGTTTCCTGTCTGAAATGATAGCATGTAATAGTAGCTGGTGTTTGTTTTTTTCATGTCTTTATTTGGCAGAGTTCACAGTTGCAGTCCTGTGTCTGGCCCCACATTTCCTTTTCATTCTCACTCTTAGTTTTGTTTTTCATTTTACTGGTGCACTTACACCTGAAGTCACAGCACCACTGCTGTGTTCCTAATGCACACATGCACACATGCCCAACCCCTAACACATCTGCCCAATAACTGTTGGTGTCTGAAGTTTCATTTCTGACCGAGGCATTGGGGTGCCATAAACACATGGCGCTCTGCCTCATTGTCATCCCAGCCTAGAGAGCTGGATAACAACATGAGGGATGTCCTGTGAGAATTCGGCTGTAAGAATGTATGCATGTGGGGCTGCAAAGATGGCTCAGCAGGGGGCTGGTGAGATGGCTCAGTGGTTTAAAGCACCTACTTAGAACAAGCTTAGCAGAGCACAGGGACCGCGGTTCAATCCCCCAGCACCACATGCCAGCCAGCCCCACCCCCTGGTGGGCTGAGCTGGCCACACACACACACACATAAATAAATCAAATTTAAAAAAAAAAAAGATGGCTCAGCAGTCTAAGCACATGCCTGGCAAACTCAGGGACCTGAGTTTGATCCCCAGTACTGCATGCCGTGCCGGCCTCATGCCCTTGGGTGCACCATACTTCCCCAAAACTGGGTGTGGTGGCACATGCCTGTAATCCCAGTGCAGGGGAGCCTGAGACAGGAGGATCACTATAAGTCTGAACTGCATAGCAAGACCTTATATCAAATAAATTTAATTTTTTTAAAAAACACGTGTATATACATGTCATGTGTATGTAGTGTGTTATGTGTATGTAATGCATTACATATAGTGTGCTATGTTTGATATATATATAAAATATACATGTACATTATATGTATACAGATGTGTGAGAGAATGTATCCAAGTGAGAATATGTGAATGTGTATATTTGCCTGTGTGAGAGTACATACAGAGTATGTACATACAGAGTACATACATGTGTGTATTTGCCTGTATATGTACACATGTATACATACATGTGAGAAAATACACATGTGTAAGTGTTGAAGGTGGATGTTTATTTGAAAGTACACATATGAATGTATGCATGTAAGAGAGTACATGTGGATATGTCCATGCATGTGTGAGGGACAAAGTGGGTGTGTATTTGTGTGTCTTCCTGTCTGTTGCCCATTCTGAGAAGCCACTTGGCAGTGGCCTCAGCTCCTGGCTTTGCTTACCCCATGGCTGTGTCTGAACACTGTCTCCTGCGGCCCCTCTGCAGGTTCTCCCATGGGCAGGTGGTCTCTGTCGATGAGCTGCGCCCCTTCCAGGACCCAGACTTGAGCTTGCTGCAGGCTGGCTCTGCATGTCTGGTCAAGCACCAAGATGGCCTTTGGCACCCGGCACGAATCACTGGTGAGCTGGCCACAGGGACCTCTCCAAGGGGCTCTACTAAAGCAGACTCTTCCTGGAAAGCCAACTCTGCTTTGCATGGCCACTCCTGCCACTTCTGGCTTGGGCATTGGGACCCTGTCTGTACCAGGAGTGACTCTGACCTCAGCCCTGGTGTCACCTTGCTCCTCACTTCCCGGGGCTCCTGACTAGTAACCCCACTCCCACGAGGCTGTGGGCTGCAGTATCTCTCTGTCCTCTGCAGATGTGGACAGTGGCTACTACACAGTCAAGTTTGACTCGGTGCTTCTGAAAGAGGCCGTGGTGGAGGGAGACAGTATCCTGCCCCCACTTCGGACAGAGGCTGAAGAGTCCTCTGACTCAGACAGTGGTGATCTGGGTGGCTCCAGTTATGCCAGAGGTATGACAGCATGTCAATGCCTAGAAGCCAAAAAGGCGAGGGGACTAGGGAGTGTATGACGGGCAGGGCAAGAGATCCAGCCTTTGCCTTCAGGAAGCACCTGCAGCAGTCACAAAATCCCTGGTGTGGGTTAGTGTCACACAGTGGGGGATGGAGACTGCTAGTGACAGAGTTGCCAAAGTCTCACAGGAAGTGACCAGATAGTTGTGTGTGTGTGGTATGCAGAAGGTGACTGGGGCCAAAGGGATCCTGGCAAGTGGAAGGTGCATCCAGACAGCCAGGCTAAGCTAGCAGTGTCAGGAAGGAAATGCATGGGCAGTGTGCAGCCTTTCTGAAGGGTTAGTCAGATAGGGTGGGAACCCAAGGGCTGGTGTGAATTGGTACTTTCTTAACCTTGTGCCCATGGTGACAGTTACGAAGCCACAGTGCAGCTAACTTGCCACCTGGTGCTGCCTGGGAGCTTTGGCAGGGGACCAGAGGTAGAGAGCTCTTGGACAACATTGGCTGGGCCGCAGGATGCCATTCGTAGTGTTTTGGCTTCATGGAGCACTGCCCTTTGTCTCATGCAGTAGTGGAATCAGGCACTGCAGACACCAGGACCTGTAACTCCGCCTTTGCCGGCTGGGAGGTACACACACGTGGAATTGGCTCTAGACTCCTCGCCAGGATGGGGTATGAGTTTGGCAAAGGTATGTATGTGCTGCTGGGGTGGGGGGTTGCTGCAGGGCAGTCCTAAGTCCTGCAGCAGCAGCATCTGCCCTGCATCTTTACCAGGTCTGGGCCGACATGCAGAAGGCCGGGTGGAGCCCATCACTGCCGTGGTGTTACCTCGTGGAAAGTCACTAGATCAGTGTGCAGAGATCCTGCAGAAAAGGACCAAGGAGGGGCAGGCTGGTGCCAACAGGCCCCCAAGGTGCCAGAGGAGGAAGGGTAGGCCTATGAGCCACCCACGCCCTCAGAATGTATTTGACTTCTTGAATGAAAAGCTGCAGAGCCAGGCTCCTGGTACTCTGGAGGCTGGGGTGGATCCCCCTGGTGGGAGGAAAAGCAAGGACATATACCACGCCAGCAAGAGTGCCAAGCAGGCCCTGAGCCTGCGGCTCTTCCAGACTGAGGAGAAGATTGAGCGGACCCAGCGGGACATCCGGGGCATCCAAGAGGCCCTAACTCGGAATGCTGGCCGGTATGTGTGGGGCCCAAGCACCGGGGTAGCCATGCCCAGGACACGTGTGGGAGGTCACCTGACCCTAGAGTGGCAGCTAAGTCTGAGGAGGTCTGGATCTGGAGGACGGGAAGTGGCTGCAGCAGCTGGGGGTCCTACTGGCCACACTGACTGGCAGGCCCTCCCTAGGCACAGTGTGGCAGCAGCCCAACTGGAGGAGAAGCTGGCGGGAGCCCAGCGGCAGCTGGGGCAACTCCGGGCTCAGGAGGCAGGCTTGCAGCGGGAGCAGCGGAAGGCAGACACCCACAGGAAGATGACAGAATTCTAGAGGCCTTGCAGACCCCACGGACAGAGCCCTGGCTGCCTCAGCAGGAAGACCAGCCATCATCCTGACACTCTGAAGGACCAGCCCACTCTCAGACTGCCCCCATTCAGCCTTGCTAACCTGGAGCATGTGGACGGTGCTGCAGAGATGGGCCAGGATCACTTCTAGACACTTGCCCACCAAGCCCACCTGCCAGTGTCTTGGGGCATCTTCCTACCAAGGACATTAAAGTGATTTTATTACTGTGTCACTCAGTGGAGACTCAGCTGGCTGCAGGGTCTCAGGGGAGAGAGGGGCCTACACAGGATTGTGACCACAGACAGGCTGGGCTGGAGGAACCCAAAGGAGGCCACTGTTCCTGCCCAGGGTCACAGGATCCAGGAAAGCAGCATTTTCCTTTCCTTCCCTTCTCTGACCCAGCCAGGGAAGAGCCTAGAATGTCCCATGGCTCCCAGCTAGAGGAGTAGAGATGGGCCCTTGGACAGTAGAGTTGATGAGGCAGGTTTGGGGGTCTTGGAGTTCAGGGCCAGTGCTTAGTGGCTGCTGATCATCCACTTGACCCACTGTCTACCCTGTCAGTCCTGGCCCCCATCCGGTACTGAGAGGACATGAGTTAGGCTTTCATGTGGCTTGTGAAACAGTGGCTTGTGGCACATAGTCACAGCTACATTTTGGGTGGGGCTGTAGCAAGTAGATGAGGCTGAGTGGTAGTTACAGCAGAAGCAGCCGCAACTGAGGGTTGAGTAGCTGGTGGAAGGTCCTGAGGCGGGCAGAAGTGAGGTGAGGATCTCACTAAGGACCCACAGAAGACTTTTCTGGCTGCCCCAGACAGGGCCAAGGAAGAGCTGTGCTGTGGCCTTGGTAAGCTCCCGCTCTGTCCTCCAGCAGTGGTAGGTTCCCAAGGCCCTTGGCAGTCCTGGGGCCTGGGAGGGCATTGGGACCTGGCTGTGTCCAGGTTAGCTGTCACCCCCCTTCATGCGAGAAACCTGCTCTTCTAGTCTGGACAGACTCACCCTGACCTCCAGAGACTACCTCCCCTTTTCTACAACCTGCAGAACTTAGGTGGGCCCCCAAGCCTCAGTGCTGTTAAGACTGGCCCCAGGAGGGCTGTCGGTCTTTGGGGAGGCAGGAAGGGGTGGGGTCACACATGTGCTGCCTGCTGATCCCTCAGCCGTTTCTCAGGGGTCCAGGCTGTACTGAGTGGCTTAGGGGTACCACTGTGGATAAGGAGACCGCCCCTGGGAAGAGGGCTATAAATGAATGCTGGGGTGTGGCTTACAGGCCTGGGGTATCTTCAGGGTCTTCCAGGACCCAGACCCTGGGTTCAGTCTGTGGTGACCAGAGCCTCGGTGAGGTCACAGCTGCCCTGGCTGTCCTCTCCCATCTCCATAGCTGCTGTCTCGCTGTGCAGCAGCAGGCAGAGCTTCAGACATTCGGCAGAGGCAGGAAGGTGGGCGCCCCGCTGTAAGGCCTAGGGGTTTCCGGTATGCTGAGTCAGCTGAGGGAGACACCCACCTGGGGTGAGCTACACAAGTGAAGCAGCTAGGGGTGTGCCTGATCGCTCAGCTCCCCCCACCCCATGTCCCTTCTTTTGCCCCCAGAGCCCTGCCTCACAGGATGGGGCCATCAGTGCCCGTGTTCCTGCCAGCGCTCTGGGTCCTAGGGTGTTTCTCCCTGCTCCTTTGGCTGTGGGCGTTGTGCACAGCCTGCCACAGGTATGTTTATCTTGCCTGCATTCCTTTTGGGTCCTCAGCCTCTGTGGCCAAGGCAGAAGTTACTAGAAGCAAGCCAGAGCCAGAATCACACCTCCACGTGCACCTCACGCTGGGCATGGACCGGCGTCTAGCTATCCCTGCCTCTGCCTCTGCCCCCTGGCCTGATGATACTCTTACCCCCAGGAAGCAGGTGCAGAGCCACCAGGCAAAACTACAGGACACTGTGATGCTGGCAGACTCGGTGAGTGCCTACTTGTCTGAGGGGCTGGGGGCAGCCAGCAGGGGACCAACCAGCCTTCACTGCCCCCAGGCACTGCTGAGACAGACCCATCTCTGCTCTCTCAGCACGTCTGACACCAGGCTGCACGAGCTGCACCATGGTGCCCATGGCAGCACAGGTGAGGTGCCTACCAGCAGGACACACAGGAAGGGGCTGCCTGCAGCTTGGGGCCACATGCTGTCCACCCCTAGTGACTTCTGATCCAATCTTCCCCATAGCCCTGAGGCCTGCCAGCATGGATCTCCTGCACTCACACTGGCTAGAAACCTCTAGGAGCAGCACCAGGCCACAGGCAGCCCCTTCTGCCTTCCCACCTCAGCAGCTGACTGGGGCCCCTCCTGCCACTGCCACCACATTGTCCATTGGTCCTGGGGCCACCTATTCCAATGTGGGGCTGCCTGCCATCCCCAGAGCTAGCCTGGCTGCCAGCCCTGTGGTATGGGCAGGGACGCAGCTGACCACTGGCTGTGACGAGCTAGGGTCTGGGGCCAGCCCGGCATTGGCTGAGTATGCCTCCATCCAGAAGCTCCAAGGGACAGATCTGGGCTCCCAAGAACTGCAGCAGTGGAAGGCTAAGGTGCCCCAGCCTGCTCAGGTAAAGTGAGCCTAGGTTGGGTGTGGCAGGGGGACTGGGCAGGCCCTTGCAAAGTGGATGATGAGGATCCGGGTCTACTCCTTCTCTCCAGGTGGACATCCTGTACTCCAGGGTCAGCAAACCTAAAATCAAGGACTTGAGACCCACCACAGGCCACCCAGACTGCAAGAGTACAAGAGCAATGCTGGAGAGTGACTTTGCCTATGAGCCCCTCCCTCTTAGGGGCCTGGACACGGACAACAGCCCCCTGGAAAATATATACGAGAGCATCGGGGAGGTGGGCACCCCTGGAAGTCCAGCACCCCCCATTATGCCAAGCAGCATAAGTGGACATTACAGAGCAACAAGACATCTAGGGAAGGGGTGGAGACCGGTCTGTTCCGCACCTGGATTCCTTCCTCCAACTTGAGCCTCCAGCCCCAAGCTGATTGAGACTCAGCTCCTACCACTATGTTGCCCCGTCCGCACGGCCTTTCCTCTCTCAAGCCTGCATCCTAATGAATCTAAGCAATAAGGACTACTCACATACCTCGAAGCCTGCCCTTGATAACTGGGAGGGTTGGGTGGGGATTTGCTAGATAATTTAATCTCCTGGCCTTCGGAGGATGGGCTCTAACCCTAACTGCCTAGCGCTTGAGGCCAGTGCGCTGGCTGTTCAGCTGTTATCACAGAAGCGGGAGAGGGGGAGGAGGGTGTGCGAAGGTTGTTCGAAGACTTGGTGGTCGTCAGGGCAGTGCAGCCCGCTGGCAGGACTGCCTGGGATGGGACTTGGACCCTGAGCTCCGCAGGACGGTTCTGCCACCAGCCCCGAAGGTTACATAAGTGGAAGTGGTGGGCCGTCGTGCGTTAAAGAATAACCTGCTCCGGGGAGGCCCGCCAAGCAGCTCGGCCTTCCTGGCTCTGGCAGCTCCGAGAGTACGGCCTGGGGAAGCTGGCCCTCCCTAGCGGCGGGCGCGCAGCAACGGCGCTGGAAGCGACCCGGGCCTCCGTAGGCGCGCGCTGGAGCGCAGATCTGCCGGGACAGGCAGGGCGGGGCCTGGGCGGGACCGGGGCTCGGGCCCGCGGGAGTGCAGCGGGCTTCTGCGAGTGTTGGTGCCACGCGCCGGCCAATGGGCGCGCGCGC